CTCTCTCAGCCTGTCCCTATAGCAGAGGTGCTCCAGCCCTCTGATCATCTTCATGGACCCTCTGGACTCGCTCCAACCAGTCTATATTCTTCTGATGTGGGTTCCACAGCTGGACGCAGCACTCCAGGTGGGGTCTCACAAGAGCAGAATAGAGGGGGAGAATCCCCTCCCTCGACCTGCTGGCCACACTTTTTCCAAAAGTTGTCAAAATTTTACACCTTGTTATTATGTATGTTCAGATTGGGTTTTTCTTATACATGTATACTACTCTGCACCTGTCCCTCACTTCAAGTCAGACCCAAATTCATGAAGAAGTATGGGATATACCTTACCTGATTATTTAGATTGTAGAGGTAGCGGGATACAAAGACATGAATATTTCTCATGATTTCCAAAACATCCAGACCCTGAAACAATATTATCTATTAAGAATTATGATGATAAAAATTCTTAAGAAGTGCTGGCATGCCTAACCACTAAGGTGCACAAATACTATTCCTGTAGTTACCTGAAAGCCTTTTAGAAAGCAATGTTTTTGCTTTGCAAAATGAAGAACCTCTTAATTTTTGTTCAGTGACTGTAAAATAATGCTTAAAGCCTAAAAAGAGAACCTTAGCTAACGTTTTAAAATTTTCACTTCTGCCTGTTTTTTTCCAACTTTGCCTGAACGCAAAGAATATTCCAGTCTATTCCACAAGCCCCAATTAAATAAAAAAATTCAAAACAACCTGAGGTTTGGCTGTTCTCAGATTCCAGAAAATGGAATCTTGCCTTAGAGATTTCTATAGACACATCGATTTCTACAGACACATAAGCAACCAGTTACCTCTTGATACTGTTTTGCCCAGCCTGTCTTCAAGACTAAAGTTTTGTATTTACAATACAAGTGTTACAATTGTTTTGCTGGAAGGAGTCTCTTCAGTATCACTGTGCACAGAGAGGAGGATATTTAATCCATACACTCCATTTCCATTGTACCAAGGATTTTATCAGGATTTTGCTGGGGCCAGGGGGAAAAAATGGGGTGTGGGGTGTCTTTGTTTTGAAGTAAAGCTCACACCAGAATGAATGTTATGAAATCAGTGTTGTGAATTTATTTAATTCTTGATAACAATGTGATGGCCAAATATTACCAGTAGAAAGCCAAAGCCAGAAACAGAAACTAATCCACAGCATTTCTGTGCCAAGAAGCAGCTAGAGCTCTTGGTTCTATGCCTTCTTTCAATTTAGGAAGGCCCAGCCACCATGAACATTAGGAAAAAAAGGGGCTCTATTTCCAAGAGCTTTCACCAATGTGCTAATCTAAATGAGGGAATGAAGCCAATTGGCAAAAATATCCAAAATACTAAAACTCTTGAAGGGAAGTCTTCAGAAACATGCAAGTCATATTCCTTTTGCACCAACCCTACAACAGTGAATGCCTTCACCATTAACCTGATGAAACTACAACTTTAATCTAGATGTAACCATGTTTAGCAGTTTCGAGGAGGCTCTGAGTCACTCTCCTACTAAGCTAAGCACGGAATCCCAAAGTCCTCCACGTCCTGCCTGTGAAACAGCTGTTTCTCTTGATGATCACTAAGCAGAACCTGCTGAGATGCAAGCAATAAATCAGGGAAAAGACACATCATTCAAAGGTCATTCCAGAGTTGGGATAGTTGTATTCCAGATGTATTGCTCGCCAGATTGCTGATACTGCATTTTTAAGAAGGCGTTCTCTGACTTTACGTACACAATTTTATTTTACTAAATTTTATGTTGAAAATTGAATAATACCCCACATGCCCAACATGGAATGAACTGGTATCAGTGTTATTTCCAAAGGTACATAAAGATCTTGTCTCAGAAGTCATCTCTTTCCAAACAGTTCCCTACTCTTGGGCACTTTCACTGCAACGACTCAGTCCTTTGCATAGCTATGACTGTGTTAACAGAACAAATGACATTCATATCCTGTGGGCACTGTACCTGTTCCAGAGTCTGGCTGGGAAGATGTGCTTCAGTCATACTCAAACCGTAGCGCTGAGTTGCAAGGTTTCTCATTTCACTGTAGGTGGCCCAGTCATGAAGAGCTACAGTCGTTAAGTTGTAGAATGTCTTGTCCAAATAGTGAGTTACATAAGCTGTAAACACATAAAAGAATGGACAAAAACAATACTACCTATTTAGTTAGGGAAGTGTGGAAATGAGTGAGAAGATATACTAAGCCAAAATGTAACAGAGATTAAAGTAATGGAATCAAGAAAATGTGTAACTCCTCACCTTTTATGTCGATGAATCGATTGAAAAAACGTATTGGGTTGAGAAAGAAGAAGTGAGCTAGATCCTTCATACCAACTCTGAAGGGGTTTCTGTCATCCAGCTTTAGGTGTGTATGAACTGATAAGCGCAGGTCTTTTTCTATCTCTTTACATAATTTGTCCAACAAGTGCTATTCAGGGAAGTTAAGAAATAAAAGGTCACGTGCAGTGTCCGCTTACAATGCTCTGTTAGCAGAACTAATATCTCTCTCCAGAGACACATCAAAGACTAGTTAAACTAGTGAAGACAGCTTTGCTTTGGCAGGGACACACGAGTCAAAGCAAACAGTACTTGGATACAGAAGGATATCAGATTCCTCTGTTCTTGTTCTGCCCTGCGTACCCAACAGCAACAAAAAGCTACACGGCTCAGAACAGGTAAAGGTTTAGCCACCTAATTTCATTCTGTACATGATGAAAAAACTTCCACGTACGAGTTTAATCCAATTTAAACAAATAGTCTCACTTCTCATCTTAAAGGGAATCAGGCTTAGGGCTACCTATCTAAATAAGACCTAACACAGTAAGGAAGAGTCTCGCAATAAGCAATTTGGCCTGATTTGCTCAGAATATGTAGTGTTTGAGTA